TACCCAAGATTTACAGACAATATTTGAATTCCATTTTTGCAGTCTTTTTTGTGCATCATTTTATTTTGTAATCCTACAAGGCAACGTTCAAAATAAATTACTTTCTTGAGAGACTGTTGCAGATGTCACATATACATTTCAACTAAAATTTACTATTTACTATTTGCGCAATGTATCAGAGTCCAAATGCTGAGCAAATCAGAAAAATTCTAAGAATTTTTTCCAAACCCACCAAAAAACTGACTTTCACTGTTAAATATAATGCCACGTCAAGGGCCAACACACTGCAATTAAATTGACTTAGTTATCCCCTGTAAGTGGAATGCCTTCAGGTCTTCTTAATAATGTTAGCGACTCATGTACAATTTTGCTTGGGTAATTAATGGATGTTTCATGTCAAACATTCTGTAATCTCTACTTTTTATCTGGTAAATTTAATACCAACAATCAAGATTTGCCGTCATCATGTAAGAATCAAAGTACAGCATTTGTCCTTATACGTATGAAAATAATATTGCACTGATGGAAAATAAACACAACGGACTGCAACCCAACTTGCGGATTAAAGCATTAAAATATCCCCCAAAATGCTCAAAATTCTGATAGTTTCCCACAAAAATAACGGCAACATCAAAGCCTTGCCACAACCTTCAAAACTCATTTTATGGTTTTCATCAATTACCTTTTAAATCAATGCTCCAAGATTAAGGACTTTCTTCATGATTTCTTCATGTCGTTTGTGTAACTCTTTCAGTTCTTTCAAGCTACGATCGGCAACATTCTGTAGGCAAGCAAGTCACACACAAATCAATTGGTGTTGGATAAAACTGTGATGACTGGCAAAAACTCAAAGTCATAGACTGTGTTGTGGCATTAGTAACTGTTTCACTATATACTGTGACTCTGCTGAGACAACACGGTGCAATGACAGAGTACTGTGACATTATAATTTTGCTCAATGTCCTAGGAGAATTAGAAATCTTATTTTCAACTGCGACAGAGATAATTACAAAATAAAAACTGTGGCTTTCCGTAATACATCTCACGCTACGGTACAGTATACCCACCTTCAACTTCTTCTCAAGGAGTGGCAGCAGTCTGTTGAATATGTAATCAACATTCTTCATGATAAAATGTCTCTCATCCTCAAATCTGTCTGAGGTAACAGCTGTTTCCATCAGATGAACATGGCTGTCCATCACATCCTTAATGGTCCAGACTAAATCAGGATACAACTACAAGAGAAAACAGGTTGATAATCATGTCATATACAAGTCATATCATTCTTCCTAATGGTAGCAAAAGCACAGTCCCCGCCCCCCATGTTGGAGGAGGGGGTGGGGATCAAGGGATGTTTGTGTAGGGGTGCAAGAGGATGTCCTAAACTCTGACTTACCTCTGGAAGATAGAGTTTGAGTGCATCGTGAAGAAACGTCAGTAATACCTTCGTGAAAGCAACATTGCTGCTGGAAATCCTCACAAAGCATTCGTCTGAAATCATAGTATAAAAGATTCAAGTCAGGAATTCAGGTGTTGGATTTCTCAGGATCACAAAACAAAAATAGGAGGATTTACAGCAAAGTATGATAAGCCTCTGATGTATTATACATGGTTCTGATGAAAAAAAAACTTGATGAATTTGACAAAATGATAGGCATTATGTGCCATTGCAAACTCTTTTTCTATTTTTATGATTCAATCGTCCAACCGAATTGCACTCACCATAGACCAGAGTATTAAAGTCTTCAAATCCCAACAGGTGCATGTCCTGGATGAGAGTGTTTGCAGCAGTACGGTTCTTCAGGTTCAATGGGAACCATCGCTCGTCCTAACGGAAAACATGACATGATTTAAAATAAAGTTACTCTTCTAAATCCACAAAAATGCTCCAAAAAAGCAGTGAATTCTGGAGAACTTGAGTGAATTGGAAATAAAAGATTCCACATCACTGATTACAACAAAAATCGTACAAGTTTGATAACTTACCACATTCCTATGCCTGGAAGCCTCGATCAGTTGGTCTTTGTTGTACTGCAGTGCTTCTCGAATACCTCGCAAGAGCAATGAATTCAATGCAAACAGCAACTCCAAGCCAATTACAGACAGTTGTTGGCAGTAACTACGAGCTATACTCACACACTCTGCAACAGTTGATAAGCTGGTTTTCTTGGCAAGGGCTTGGCGTGAGAAGTGATTGGCAAAGGTTTTCAGCTCAGCTTTGCTCCAGACAACAAAAGCTGTGAGGGGAACACATTCAATAAGGAAGTATCAACCACAATACAGACGGTTTCAGCAAGAAGTCCATATATCCACAGAATCACACACTAACGGCAAACAAGAGGGACAATAAGACATGCCTCATTACCTGAGAAACATCCTTGATTCTCAGCAAAGGTAAAGCGAAATTCCTTCCCAGTTTCAATGATGTGATGGAAGAAGACACCACACAACTTGGTGATATACATGCTTGTAGCACCTTCAATCCTCAACTGACGAAGAGACTGCTTGATTGATGCACTGCGATTCTTCAAGAACAAATCACACGCCTTTAAAAGAGGGGGAATTTTGTTTATTACTACAAAGACTGGAGAGTGAAACTTTCTTACAAATAAAACATAATTGGGAAAAGAATAAATGACTAATTTTGTCTTATTCTCATCAAAATCAAATCTATTTTTTATTTCTATCTACATTAATATGAAGCAAGCTTAAAATACAGCCATTAAGAACAACTTCTGAATGAAACTCTGACCTGAGTAGCTCGTCCAAGTCGAATGAGTTGAGTGACTGCCCTGCGAGTGACCTGAGGACCACCTCTGAGTGATCGGTCAGGTGACACCTGTAACTCGCGAGTCAGGACATCGGTTAGTTGCTTCACACGGTGATCAACACGAGCCCTGCAGACAAGACAGGAATCATGTGACTTCCGTTCGATGGTGACACCATGAATTACAGGAAATGTAAATGGTGCCATACAATTGGATTCAATCTGTCTCTCCTGCAATAAATTTCCCTTGTCTCACTCAGAGCCTTGTGTGACTCAGTTTGATTTATGTTTACATCGAAAGTGAATAAGTTAATCAGGTCTACACTAAGAAAATTCTCTTTGACTGCAAGTAATTATTAGCATGGAAAAGATAAGAACAAGAACTGAATTTTTTACCTCATTTCTTTGAGTGCAGGGCTTTGTGGAACTGAATCAAGGTAGGTGTTTGCTGCAAAACAAACCCCCAAAGATCAATTATTAAAAAAGCCTAGAAAACTTATCAATACCTTAAAGATTATTCTATGGATGGAGGTCAACTTTCAAGGAATGCATATTCTTCAAGATAAACATCTTCTACATACTTTTGATGATGAGATCCGTGGCTTCCTCAAAGTTCCTCTGTGCAATGCACATGTCCAGATCCTCAGGAAGTTCCAGTAACCATTCCACTTTGAGCATGCTTGTTGATTCTACAGGGACTACAGGTGATGTCACATCATCCTCCTCATCAAAGGCTAGAAATGTGCCAAGTAAAAAGTTATCACTCTGGAATCTGGAAGCACCAGACCAGCAAAACCAAACCACAGGTGCAGGTACACATGCAATATGACCCCTGAGGAGGGGGCATTCCTACATTTCAGGGGTACAAGTTACAAATACATGCTAAAAAAACAACTCATCCAAAGTGCTACCAGCATGACTGGGAAATTACTAAATAACTGACATTTTTATATCCAGGATGCTAACTACATACTTTGCTATTTGAATCAAGGCTAAATCCTAACACCTTATGGTATGGTGTAAATGTACACTATGCTTTTTAATTGGTCATGCACTGAATTTGTGACAAATGGAGACAACTTCATATAAAAGCAAGCACGTACAATAATGCTACATCAGATCATTACAAACATGGTTATTTGTGTTCAATTTTTATTTTGAAAAATGGATCTACTGGGACTCTCCATCACAATGCAAATATGCAGCAGTCATCCCTGCAAAGTTACACATTCCATTTCTCTTTCTTCAATCAAAACAACTACCCAGTTTCTTCATCCTTAGTTGACCGTTATGCTCAATACAAGTTATCTATTCATGCGAAATGCAGGCATAATTGTGTACCTTCCAAAGGCAAGAATCCCAAATCGTATTTGTCTGAAAGTTAAATATACTGTAAAAATTAGATACAAGAATGCACATGCTAACTTAGTTTCATGTTAATGAACTAGTACAGGGAATTATTAAACTTCAACATCACTGGCTGGTTAAAACAAATGAATAGGGTGGTTTAAATCAAAGAAGTACCTTCTTTTCTTTTATGTCCAAAGAGCCTGGTGTCAAACCCACTGCAGTGCTATTTGGTGAGTATTTTGGGATGTAATAATTCTCCATGAACAAAATTAAAGTGGACAATATAATTCAGGCACAATTATCAACATGGGGACAAAAGTATTCCTAGCAAGAGTAAACTGTGAACAGGTCTTGCGAGAATACAGTGCCATCTTACAAACCAACCACTAACATGCTAATTTCAAATCAGTTCTGACTTTTCATCAATATTTTCATTATTTATAATGACTTACGATTATAATCGCTGGACTCAACACTCATCTGCTCAGCCAACTCTCTCCTATGGGCATCAGCTGCAGCTTTGGTCTTCTTGGCTTCTTCAAGTTTATCTAACCAAGTACGCTGCAAAAGTTGGGAAAATCTGTTATCAACGTGTATTTCTACATAGGTTCACATAGTG